AATCTTAACTTCATTATCTGATTTATCTAATTAAGAGTAAGAATTACTTTGTCATTCAAGTCAAGAACTGAACTATCACCAAAAAAAAAAACTCCACATGGCATCAACAAATATTTTATACACCAGGTGGTAGAGCCTAGCTGTGGTGAGTTACTACAGCTCGAACATGGGCTGGCTCGACCGGGGAAGTACCGCCCTCTCACAGAAGATCGGCGTGAAGTAGCCTCTAATGGCTGCGTTTCGTCTGATGAGTGAGAGAGCCGGTTGCCCTTTCCCTATTCCTACCCTTTCCTTTCATTTCCTTATTCCCACCCCTCCCTATACCCAAAAAACAAGGTTGACAATGCATCCGCAACAAAATGTTGAGGATGTCCATGGGCGACGGTAACCACCTTCCATCAAGTGGGCCGTCTGCTCGTTTGCCACCTTTCACATAAAAAAAAAACACCAAATACAGTATAAGTATTCATATAAGTAGGTATGTATCATATATGTATACAGTTTATAAGTGTAACAAATATAAGATAACTTTTGTATAAATTATATTACTTTTGCACAAACTTTTCTTTTCCATTTAGTTGTGGTTTCATAGAGCACATATAAGGCTAAAAATAGGATATTATGTATAAATTGGAGTGAGTAAATTCGGATTAAGGATTTGTAAAATTTATTTCAGGTCCATATCAATACTGTGTCACTATCTCAAATAAAATGTCGTGTTTATTTATTCGTATTTTATTTAATTTCATTAAGAGATTTATCCATTGCAATATAGCATTAGTATAGTTTGGTTTCGTATAAAAATCAGTTCCAATATTTTTAAAGAAATTATTCAGTTTTTAATTATTTTGCAAACAATGCAATCACATAACTCGTCTTCCTAACATGAAACTGACAAGAAAAAATGTGGTTTTTCAATTCTTGTTTGGCTTTTAAAATTTCAATTAATGACATAACATAGTTGTAATTTAATAGTGATATTGTTCCCACATGTGGCTTCATTTTCACTCGAGGAAACCGAAGAGAAATCATTTAATATCACTTTATCCCTATGTATACTTAAATATTTAAAACAACGCGACGGATTTTGATGGGATTTTTTAAAATATAGGATAATTAAAGAGGAAGGTTAATAAGTAAAATAATATCCATTAAATAGTGGAGAAGTACTGTTATTTTTAAATTTTCTAATATGGCGTCGTTAATAATGTCATTTTTTCCGTTTACATTTATATAGCATTCTGAATAGATAAATAGATCTATATGGTCCTGTATACGAATAGTATACGATGTAAACCGGAGCGGGCCGCTATGTTTAATATACAACTTTCATAGTTTTTCTGTAGTGTAATTGTTATAAAAGGCACAAGTGTGTAGTGTATTTATTTAAAAAAAATATTATCTTACAGTTTCATCGCAATATTAGAAATTAGATATATCTATAAATATGTATATTTTATTTTGTATATGTATGTATATATTATTTGTATTTATGTAAATCAATATGTAGTTTATAATAGTTTTATGTATATTTAAGTATGCTTATGTAAAGTAAAAAAGTAATAATTATTCTTTGTCACTAAAATTAAAATTGTACCTACCTTCCTATTATTTAACATAATATTACTCACACTCCAGGGTGGCTGGAAGAGATCTCTGGGAAATTCACACTCTTGTGTGAATTTTCAAATGTTATTACAACGCGCGCGACTCGTACAGAAAAGGCTTGCTTATTCAAACAGAAGTAAACCAATAGGTATTCCTTAAAACTTTATCCCCATTTACATAATCAAATGTGATGGCTTTGGTTCTTTACAAAACAAGCTTCCAAACAAAATAAGACTTCCTCAACAGTGATTATTACGTTTTTACACCATTACATACGAATTAGAAATTTACATTACCTAATGAAGAGTGACATCATTCTTTCCTTTTTAAACAAATAAGTTTGTCTGTCTGTTTCTGTTTGTCTATATGTATATATGTTTTTATAGAACAAGAAAAACTTGACAAGATATTTAGGATATTTAGGATAGGATTAACTTGACAGGGATAGGATAGGGTGGGAAAAAGGAAAGGGCATTCGGCTCTTTCACTCATTGGTTAAAATGCAGCCATTTAAGACTAACTCACGTCGATCTTGGTTGTGACAGTGGTACTTCTAAATAACTCTTCCAGATAAATTAAATGGTATCGTGTGATATAAAGCTACAATATTTAAGTAATAATCAAAGAGACTGCCCTTCATATTAAATGAACATGATTTCCATTCCGTCACTAGAAAACCTAAAAAACCAACATATGTTGTAAAATAAGAAAATCATTTATTTTCCTCCGACCTAAAATAAGAGATTTATAATTTTAACGACTACATTTGAATGTGTATGTCTGTCTGTGGGATCCCAGTTCATAAACGGATTGAGTGATTTTGGTAGGTATTCCACGTATGATAGCCAGCTAGCTTGCGGTGATTTTAAGCTTTGATAGGTTACACAACGGAGTAAGATAATCAGTTTTTAAAAAAATGATTTACGTCATTTGATACTTATATTTAATTGATTAAGAGTTTCAAGCAGGGGATTTTTAAGCAGGGGATAACACTTTGTTTTAAATGTGCAACGTTAACTTTCCTAACGCATCTAAAATAGGCTTTGTTTATTCATATTAACAGCAAATTATTATTATTCTAAAGAAAATCATCTTAAAAGTGAAGACAGCAACTGTGTTTTTTTTTATGTAAAAAGTGGCAAACGAGCAGACGACCCACTTGAAGGTCAGTAGTGACCGTCGCCCATGGACATCCACAACACAGATGTTGCGGATGCGTTGCCAACCTAACTTGGGGGGGAAAAGGGAGGGGTGGGAATAAGGAAATATAAGGAAAGGATGGGAACAGGGAAAGTGCAACCGGCTCTCTTACTCATCGGACGAAACTTTACTGACTACCTCACGCCGCTCTTCTGTGAGAGGGTGGTACTTCCCTGGTCGAGCCAGCCCATGTTCGAGCTGTAGTAACTAAACTACAGCTAGGCTCTACCACCTAATATTATATTACGTATTATATATTAAGTACTATAAATTTTCTTTGTACAACATTACCGTACAGAATCTAGTTGTATTTTATGAAGAATGAGAACAAGAACAGAATGAAATTATTTGTAAACTTAAAAGTAACTCAAGTCTAAAACTAGCTACGTTGATGTGAATAATTTGACCTGAAGCCGTTAACATGTATTCGTATAACAAAGAAACAACATTTTTATTATTAATTATATAGCAATGTATCAAAAAAAAAAATAATTTTTTGAAATACTTATTATTATATGTATAAGTTTCACACCATTTTCAGTCACAATATAATGATGATGATTTTTAGAAAATTCATGAATTTGAACTCCGTTTCATTTCCATAAATAAATGAAAAATAATGGTCTGACTTTCTTAATACGATTGAGTTAACGTTATTTATCATTCAAGGTTGCAAGGTTTTTTATTGAATATTTTAAGTTTTTATTTTACGTGACGTGTGTGGGGTGACGTGAGAAGTATTTTGCCTCTTAATTAAAATGAAGGCTACATTTATTGATTATATTATTTTATTATTTTTATTTTTACGAAAATTATTTTTTATAAAGTTACATGATATGTAACTTCATTATTACTTACAAAAATAAAAAAAACCTGACTATACTTTATTTTCAACATTATCATTACTCCTCTAAATTCAACTTTAATCGAACTCGCGTACATTGTTAATATAAAGGTTAATTCTATGGTTTTTCTTAATAAACGTATCAAGAGGAAACCTTACAAAACTATAAAATGATTTGTCTCAATATTCTATTGACTATTTACGAGATAGAAAATCCAGTCATAACGGTTGATCAACAGCGAGACAGGGAACAGGCTACATTCTGTTTTATACTGTTGCTCTTATAAATATTGATTATTATTAACAGTCTTCTTCTTCTTCTACCTGGCAATTTCCCAGCTATAGCCAGGGTCTGCCTTACATGCTATGAATAGTTTTTGGCTATTTGTTTTTACGACCGGCCGCCTGCCTGACATCAACCCTCTTTTTGGGAATCAACATTAATCAATGATGTCTAAATACTCTTAGAAAGTACATATGATTAAGAAAAATCACATTGGTACTTGCCCGGGTCAGGATCGAACCCGCGCCCTCGGCGACGAGAGGCCGAGATGCGGGCCCTTTAACCACTGAGCCACCACTGACCAATTTCCACGGTTTTGCATTCGTTTTAAAGGTCTCGGGCTCCTTGGGGTTTATAACAAAAAAATTCTACAGAAAAGCGGGAATATCTTTTTTCACATATATGTATGTATGATACATTGTTTGACAGCTACTCATTGTTCTCTACTCAGTTAATTTCATGTGACAAACCGGTATTGTGTTTGTAGTTTAAACTCTTAAAACCATTTAGTATTTGCGGGATAAATTTAGAAAATCATTGTTTTTCACATGGGCAGTTATATTTTGCGTGTTCACGTGTTGAGAATCCATCCACTTTATTTGTGTTAACGTTAGACCAAAAAACAAAAAATGTGGTTCAATTGGAGCACTTCAATGAAACAGATAATAATTTGCGGACACGTATAACGCTTCGATTCGGTATCTACTTGGGATTCACTTTCATTTACTAGAGAAGTTCAACTATATATCACTTCATTTTTATTATCGAAATGAATTCATTACTGTTGTGAAATGAAATAAAAATTATCCTTTTCAAATATAAAACAAACAAAAAATTCTTCATCTTTTAATCACCAAACGAAATGTAACATAAAACAAAGCCTTCTGGTGGCGAAACGGAGTTCGCCGGATTTACTAGTTTGTTATAAAAAATGAGTCGCCTGCTCTCTAATTCGGAAATAGAACAAGAATTGTTGCGATATCGGGATATATAAGCAGATGTGTCAGGTGATGAAAGTAGTGATGATATAATAGACAGTGTTAGTGAAAACTGTGATGCAGAATTTCAGCCGGAACAGGTCACTTCTTCATCAGAAGACTCCGCAGTAGATTCATCTGCTACAAATAACAATATTATTGTAAATTCGCGCAGAGGACGCGGGGTATCTGGTAGATCCATTAGCGGTGGGCGTACAGCACGCGGTGGAGGCTCAGCTAGGACATCTTCAGTACCAGAAGACGGTATGTTAGAAGTAGCAAGTGACGGCAAAGAATAGACTTGTATTTCTCCAAACGCTAGTGTAGTAGGACGTCGTAGCGAGCACAATATACTTCGAGAAATTTCAGGGCCTACTCTAAATTTGGCAAAAAAATGAATAGTCGAAAAGAGTAGTATTGTTGGAACAATGCAGCGTGCAAGACGAGAGTACCACCGATTTGTAGAAGTATTTGTATTATAAGATATGAAACTTTCATAATGATAACCGAGACCGATATAACCCTTACTACCTATCAAGGCAAACCAGGAACAAAATGTTATTATTTTGAGAACTCTACACCGCAACGTAAGCATAGGTACTGATCAAAAAAGGCTGCCTGAAACAGTTGAATTTTATAATGCAACAAAATTTGGTGTAGACATCATCGATCAAATGACACGCATATACACCGTAAAAGCTGGAAGCCGGAGATGGTCTGTTCACGTTTTTTACAATATACTTGAATAGCAGCTATAAACTCTTGGATTCTGTATCAAAAAGTCACAGGAATAAAAATTTCTCGTTATGATTTTATGCTTCAACTAGTGCGCGAACTACGTGAAGAGTACGGGAGAAAAAAATTCCACTTCAACTGCGACTCTGAGACAAGAAACTAATTCTGAATAAGTAAACCATGTACATCAAACAATAAGAGGCGGCAATGTCAAATCAATAGTAATCGTAAAAAAATATATAACATGTGAAAACTGCACTATCTGTAAAAAAGCTGTTAGTGGAAAATGTACAAAAGAGTCTAAAAAAACTATTTACTTGTTACAAATGTTACTATCTTTAATGCCAAAATGTTTACCACTATTAAAAAAATATATATAATTTTTATTTAAAATCTGTACATAATAATTTCATAAGTTTTCTCACTTAATCTCTAGTACCGTCAAATTGACCGCCGAAGTCTTTGAAGGTATAGCATTAAGCCTGGCCCTTCTCGTGTTAAGATAGTCTAGCCTTACTTAGTAGGAAAAATCTGTGTTTTTAAAACAAAAAGAGATATTAAAACAATAATCAAGAGATATGTGAATTATTAAAGTGCTTCGTAATGTACTGTACTATATGTAATTATCATTTTAATTAACTAAAACTAACATTATTTGCGTTAAAAATGGTTATTATCAATATGAAGGATCACCTACAAATTCATCAGAAAATGATGGAAATTGTCAACACATTATTTACATATCAAACACCTTCCACTTATAATTTCTAAGAACATCAGACGTCTCTTGTGATCTACTTTATAATTCACGTTTATTGAAGAAAAAAATAGTGTTTATGTTATACATATGTGTAATGCGTGGGATAGAAAATCTATAAAAACATTACATGGTGTATTTTTTAAGACATTACTGTGTAAACCTTGTCACTTATACTGAAGTCAAAATGTTTAATTGTTATGTATGTTGTAGTTCTGGATCAATAATAGTGAAGTGATAATGAGGCTAAACATTAAAAAATAAAAATTTTGTTATTATAACGGAAATCTCTGACAAATTCACTCATAAACAATTTTTTTTTAATTACTTTTATTTATATTAATATTTAAGTATTTGAAATTTTCCACCAAACAAAAAAGATTTATATATAAATTTATAATCAAATTAAAAATATTTCGGAAACTATTAGTATTATCCAGATATAGACTAGATAACACCACCTCAATAAAATATCACAAGTTAGTCAATCAAAAGACACGTACACATGAACCGTACGCTTGCTTTGATTGTTGTGGTCACACGACATGGTGAACCCTCGGATTGTTGAACACTAAGGAATCAAGAATGTTCACAAAGAATTAGTCGCTTTGACTTTTATGTTTGTGTGAAATTTTTGTGAAAAACCTAGAAAAGTTTTAATTGATGTAGGACAATGTAGTTCTTATCTGCTTTAAAAACATTTTCAAATAAATTTTGTTAGTCAAAAATGGTGCTTATTTCAAATTTTCATTAAAAGATTTTATTTATAAAACACAGAAAGTTTGCATGAAAATAATCATAAAATTTGTAACGTACATATTGAAAAATAAATGAACATTGCCAGGGTAATATCTTTGTATGGATAAAATATAACACAACGGGTAACGCTGCTGTCTCCGCGGAATGAACACCAGCCGTGTAAACCAAAATATTCCTAATACCACAGAAGCAATAGAATGCCATTGGCATCCTAACATCGAGGCATTCATGTATTCTTAAATATAATTTATAAGTTTTAATAAAAAATTGTTTTTATAGTAAACATATAAGCAAGTTCGTGGTTTTCCTGAAACCTCCGGTATCCACCCCATATATTATACATATAATTAATTTGTAAATAGTGTTAATGCTGAAAACAAACTTTTAATTTGTTTTGTATAAGTAACCCAATATTCATACACTTTAATCCGCTACAAGAGACTTAAATTTTGTTTTTAATGGTAGCTCATAAATCAATTAAGTAATTTGCATGAATACATTCCGTTCTCTTTACTTTTGTTAACATTAATTTTAAATGCAAAACTTGTTATCATTTATTATAAAACTTGTGATCTTATATATAATAATTGAGAACTTTTCAGACACTTTAGTTTATTTTTGCTTATCATAATTACCTTTATGCATAATATTGCAGTGTCCAACGGTCAGTAGATTGTTACTCACATCGCAGCTAATTTAAACTAATGTTACTTTCTTTTATTAAGTGTGAGAGAGATAAAACTCTAAGTCCCCTTCTAGAAAGTAGTTCTCTCTAACTAATATGTTTCCTCGCAAAGGACAGCTGACAAATAATATGACTTGAACAACGCACCAACAATTGTACAAATAAAATAAAGAAAGATTAATATAGTTATCTTTTCTGTATTTACTGGTTGAGACCGTATGTTGTTGATTATATAACGTCTTTAACAACTAATCTAATGATGAGCTTCCCTACTAGAATCTGGAGATGATATTGCCAATCACCGTTAACTATATATCTATTTAATTTAGGTATGTTTGAATGTTAGTCACTATTGTTACTACTACATTTTGAAGAGAAGACTGCATTTGGCGCAAGTTGCTATACTACAAGTTTCAATTGTTCCGTTTAAATTTTATATCAGTAAGTATATAACGTATGAAAGTATATATTTGGACAAAACTATATACTAAGAATGAAAATTATTAAGTTGATACAAAAAATTTAAGTATAGTGAGGAAATGACGGTCGGTTCAATTATTGAACGTGGTTTCACTCTGATTTAAGTTATATATTGTAGTTATACTTTAATAACTTTTTGTATTAATGAATTCCTATTTTAGGATTATAATCCAGGATAATATATTGTTACAGGCTGTGACTGAGGTTCGTTTCTGTCGATTAATGACGTTATTAACATTGAATCATATCAAAGAACTGTGGTCGGATGAAAACAAGATTTGACAGTATTGTTATATGAATGTAACTTAGCGTTGTGTTTATTCTCCTTGATACATATTACAGATAAAATCTCATAACAGACATTGATTTTTTGCAGATACTGATTTTAGTTAATTAATCAGCATCCCTACTCAAAGTTGGGATCATTACTATACATACGTAGCATCAACACTCTTCAATTCATAATTTTTTTATTATTTTACATTTATCGCTACTTATAAAAGTACACGTCTATTCATGTAACTGTACTTTCGACATTATAATTTCATACAAATTGAACTATCCATGTACTTTTTCATCATGAAATTCAGAATAATTATGCACGAAATGTAAATTTTAATGATAAACGGTTATATTGTTTTGTAAATTAAAATATTTTCACTGTATTGTACCAAGTAACGCGAAGTGTTCGACGTCACTGAATTATTGATTACAGATTGATCTATAAAAGCCGATGCGGGCTAAATTGAATTCTTATGTATGTAGAAGCATCACGGCGAGAAATGGCTTCCGAACTTAATTTCACAAAAAAACTCATATTATTTTAAAATATGGCCAAGAAATAATTAGCATCAGACTTTATATTATTTTAATACATATTAATATACTTTCAATTTGATATTTGAAATAATTAATAAAATTGAAAAATATTATTGTGTCTGTTTTTGGAACTTTGGTGTTAAATTGTTTTTCATCTGTTATACAATTTATAAGTTTAAAGAGATGCATAATAATAACGAATACAGTTTTTATAATATCTTAAGAATGATCTCTTCCTGGAGTGTACTAAAATATCTGGGAGCTATTTATTTTTATTACCATTTATCAGCTTTCAAAACATTTATTCAATGGATTTAAATATTATAAATATGTCCACTTATTTTTTTTAAGTACTGAAAAAACGAATTAACTTTCAGGCGGGCTAATTTATGTTTTCATTTCTTAATTAAATATGTTTCAAGAGAACATTCTATAACAATTCTTTGTGTTGTAAAAAAATAGCATAATAATGAATGCTTAAAACAATAAAAAGATACGGTAAATTGTACTATAGTAAAACGTTGTATTAATAAAATAAATTATTAAGCAGGTAGTCTGTCTGATTGTATTAACTAAACCCAGTACTCTGGGAGTCACGAGCCTCGCTGAAATACATCGAGCATTAATTAATATGAGACCTGGTGAATGAATTGGTAATAAAGAGTCGTCCTCAAATATTAAACTGATAATGTCACCAATAATTTCAAGTACAACGTAAGGATGTATGTTCCTTGATGCTCTGATTTAAAGTTAATAGCCATCATTAAAACGGTTCCTTTTAAATTTCTTAATTTGTTGTAAAGGAAATCGGTAACATATTACAAAATTCACTTTAAACTAAAATAATATTTTATTTTTTTCTTAAATTTTCTTCAAGTGATAAAAGTTACTCCTACCATATTTTGACTGTAATAAAATTTTAAAGACAGAATATACAAACAACATAGATAATACTAGTGCCTAAATAAAATGAGCAGAATAAATACAAACTAAAAATACTTAAACCATTTCAACTTAAACTTCTTTCAATAATTTGTTTTGTTTAAGCTTAATTCGATTTCGTTTGCTTATTTTGCTGGAAAAACTGTTTCATTGCTACAAAAACTTTGTAATG